AGTTAGATTGTTAACTTTTGAAGAACTCACTGTTTAGGTGTAATAATCTTCACCTAAGAAAAATGTGCGTGTGAGTGTGTTCATTTATGCAAATACTCACACATTGCATGGGAAGTAGGGTTGAGGGTAGGAAGTGTTGCCTTCCTGGCTGGGGATTATTAACCCTTGCTTTTGGCAAGGGCCTGTCTGTGTCAGTGGGAAAGAGAGGGAGACCTGTAGCATTACAGCTTTTTTGTCCAGCTCAACTAGGGAAAATCCCAGTGGGTAGCAGTTAGAGAAGCTTTTAATTTCATTGCTTTTGACAGGGAAGGCTTTCATATTTCTCTGTTCCTTTCTTACATTTGCTTTATTTGCAACAGAATAATTTCCCTGCTGGGAGCCCTGAGCGGCTTCAAGACTTAAAGTCCACAGTGGATTTGCTAACCAGCATTACTTTCTTCAGAATGAAGGTAAGAGATGAACTAGGCTGGTTGGTGCTGGGCTGGGGACCTGGCCACAAAGACATGGAGAATAAGAATCATTGGGCACAGTCTGAGGCTACAGGATTCGTTACCTCTACGCCTGTATTTCCATACACCTGTTCCCTGGGTTACTTCTGAGAAAACAAGGGATTAACATGGATGGGCTGGGCTGTTCTCCCCATCAGCTATCCTGGCAATTTCATCCCAGAGCAGGGTCCAGGGCCCTATAGACAGATGAAGGAATTTAGAGCAGTTTGGGGAGAGTTCTGGGAGGAGATCCAACCCAGGTGATTGGGACCCTGGGTCCATATTTCTTTTATTAATTGGCAGGTGCAAGAACTGCAAAGCCCTCCAAGAGCCAGCCAGGTGGTAAAGGATTGCGTGAAGGCCTGTTTGAACTCCACATATGAGTATATCTTCAACAACTGCCATGACTTGTACAGCCGTCAGTACCAGCTGGTAAGAGTTTCAGAAATCAGGTGGGACCAGCTTTCAGTGGCTCTTGGAACTCAGCTTTCCTTTGCTGTGGTCATAGTGGAGGGGAGCTCAGGACAAAGTCCTTCATGTTCTCAAGGGTGAGTGAGTTGTAGAGTGTGGACCATTTGACCATGTGAGACATTTGTTTATGGACAAGGACCGTTGGATGAGAAGAGACATAACTGAGTCAAACAGAAGTAGCAATAGTAAGTTTTAGTTTGGTGCTAAAGAAAGTGACCAGAATTTGAGCACAGTTTCAGGGGATGAGTAGGCAAATTCTCAGTCCATCCCAGAGTCTTTTTTTCTCCCCCAGGTTTAATTTTATTCTGACTCATGTGGACCAACCCCTCTGTGTTGTAGGCTGCCTTCCTCTGAGATCAGTAACTGTCTCTCTGAGCTACCGGCTTGTGGAAGTTTAAATTTTCCCCCTGACCACTTCTCTGTGTACTGCATGGTCTTCTGAGATACATTCATCAGCTGACTATCAAGACTGACCCTGTCCTTGAGGCTAAGCTACTTTACCTGTTTTAGGCTGGCATCATAACTCAGTGCCTGGTGACTACATATTTCTAGATTCTTTCAATAATTTTTTTTTTCTCATTTCAAAGCCAGGACTTCTTCTGGGTCTGATTACTCAGTTGCAGTTCCTGTCTTAGCAGTGTCTTACAGACTACGCGTTTGCCAAATAGATTCTTTTCAGTCTGACAGATATGTATTGAATGTTTGCTCTAGGCCAGGTCTGAGGAAAGCATAGTGCTCCTTCAGAGTCTCATGAGCGTATGTATAATTCCAATCAAAGCAGTCCGTTAGAAGGGCCTTGAAAGAGGGATAAAATTTGAAGGGATTCCAAGGAAGAAGTTACTCTTGCTCAGATACTGGTAAAAGCTACATAGAACAAGGGGCATTTGAAATAGACCTTGAAAGGCAATAGGATTTGGGGCAGCATATGATAGGAGTACAGCCTTTGGTCAATACATAGAATTTGTAAAGCTTCCTAGGAGCACTTTAGTAAAGACTAAAATCTTGTTTGCACTGCCCCCTCGCATTCCCTAATGTACTTTTTATGCCAGCACTATCTTTAAAGCTTCTTCCTTTTAAGGTTTGTAAAATCTCCCATTGGTTCTGGAGTCCATGGGAGGTTTTCCTGGGGCCTTTATTTAGCTTGCCACACTCTGGGCCCCTCTGTCATCCAACTGTGGCTTTTCTCTGGTTGGGAGAAGACACTGTTCTCGGCTTTGATCTTTCAGCTATGCAGGGGTCTGTCTGTGTATTTTGTCTCTATTCCCTAGCATGAGATGAACTAGACTTTGAAAGGGGGCTTATAAACCATTCAGGGACTTTCTTTAGCCTTTGAATTTTGCTAACGGTTTTTCACTTTCACTCTCCTTTTCTCATTCATTATTTACACTGAAGTAAACCTTTGTTATCTTTTTTTATTTCCCTCTACTGACCTTCAGTCATTGGTTTATTCACTCATCCATTCCTTTAACAAACTGAGCACTAGGGATGTAAAGTTGATTAAGACACATCTCTGCCTTTGGGGATCTCATTGTTTGGTGGAGGTGGAGGGCAAATTACTACATTTATTGTTTTTAAAATTTTATTGTTACTACATTTTATTGTAGTTGTAGTTGTCTGTTATGTCTATACCAGAGGTTCACAGAGGGTGCTCTAGGATCCCAGAAGAGAGGCATCCAACCAGACCAGGGATGTTAGGGAAATCTCAGAAAAGGAAAAGCTCAACCTGAATTTTAAGGAATGAGTAGGAATTAGCGAAAGAAAGGGGCTGGAGAGGAGGCGGATGCCATATAGAGGAAATAGAATGTTTGGAGGCACAGAATTGTGAATAAGTATGTTAATTTGAAGAAGTATAAGTAATTTAGGGTAGTTCAGTGTCAGGCTTTGGAGTTCGGCTATCTGGGATTAATTCTTGGTTCTGCTGTATAATAGCTACATGACCCTGGGCAAGTAATGTAGCCTCACTTATTATCACCTTCATCTGTAAAGTGAAAGTGATAATAATTTCTACCCAGTGCAGTTGTTATGAGGATTAAATGAGATAATGCATGAAAAGTTCTTAGCAGAATGCCTGGCACATAGTAAGCCCTAAATAAGTGGAGGTAGTGGTGTGGTGATGGCTGCAAAAAAGAGGAGTGGTAAGGTATGAGGTTGAGAGAGAGGTCATATTCTGAAGGCCCTTTGTGTCAAGTTATGGAGTTGGAACTTTACTGAAGGCCATTAAAGGGCAGAGGATTAACACATGAGATTTTCCTTGCAGAAAGATCACTGACAACTGCATGGAAGAGGGATTGGATTGAAGATCAAAGACCAGTTAGGAGATCCTTGCATGATAAGAGCCTGAGCCAGGATAGTGGCAGAGAAAGTTAAAGGAGGAGATGTATTTGAGTGATATTAAGGAGGCAGAATCCACATTCTGTGGATTCTGTCCTGGTTTTTAGTAACTTCCTGGTAATGCAGGCTTATTAAGGACTGTGGACACTTTGTGATTACATATCGCATCCCACGTCAAAGCCCTGGGCAGTTCCAACTTTGCTTTTGTCCCAGTGGGAGATAAACGTCCATTCCAGCCTCTCTGTGGTGACCCCTACTTTTCCTGCCTGGGGTCTGAATGTACAGTTGTTTCTCCTCTCCTGAGATGTACTGTTGTATTCCTTTAGCTCTTCCCAACCAAGGCCTTTCCTTTTTTTTTATTTCCAGCTTTATTGAGATATTATTGACATGTAGCATTGTGTAAGTTTAAGGTGTACAATGTGATGATTTGATACACATATATGTTGTGAAATGTTTACCATGGTAAGGTTAGTTAACACATCCTTCACCTCACATAATTACCATTTTGTTGTTGTTGTTATGGTGAGAACATTAAAGCCCTATTCTCATAGTAACTTTCAAGTCTACAGTACAGTATTAACTATGGTCACCATGCTGTACCTTAGATCTCCAGAATCTATTCGTCTTATACCTGAACGTTTGTACCCTTTGACCAACATCTCCCCATTTCCCCCATTCCACAGTCCCTGGCAACTACCATTCTGCTCTTTGTTTCTATGAGTTCAGTGTTTTTAGATTCCACATATAAGTGAGATCATACAGTATTTGTCTTTCTCTGTCTGACTTATTTCACTTAGCGTAATGCCCTCAAGGTCCATCCATGTTGTTGCAAATGACAGGATTTCCTTCTTTTTTATGGCTGAATAATAATCGATTGTATTTATATACCACATTTTTTTAATCCATCCATCCATCAGTGGACACTTAGGTTGTTTCCATGTCTTGGCTACTGTGAATAATGCTGCAATAAACATGGGGATACAGATATCTCTTCAAGATGGTGATTTCATTTCCTTTGGATATATACTTAGAAGTGGGATTGCTGGACCATATAGTAATTCTATTTTTAATTTTTTGGTGAACCTCCATACTGTTTTCCATAATGGCTATACCAATGTACATTCCCACCAATAGTGCACAAGTGTTCCCTTTTCTCCACATTCTAGCCAGCATTTATCATCTCTTGTCTTTTTGATACTATTATCCATTCTAACAGGTGTGAGGTAACATCTCATTGTGGTTTGATTTGCATTTCTTTGATGATTAGTGATAATGAGCACCTCTTCACGTACTTGTTGGCCATTTGTATGTCGGCTTTGGAGAAATGTCTATTCAAGTCAGATTTTTTCCTATTGAGTTGTATGAGTTCCTTATATATTTTGGCTATTAGCCCCCTATCAGATATATCATTTGCAAACATTTTTTCCCATTTTGTAGGTTGCCTTTTCATTTTGTTGATCGTTTCTTTCGCTGTGCAGAAACTTTTAGTTTGATGTAGTCCCACGTGTTGATTTTTGCTTTTGTTATTTTTGCTTTTGGTGTCATATCCAAAAAATCACTGCTAAGACCAATGTCAAGAAGCTTTTTCCCTATGTTTTCTTCTAGGAGTTTTATGCTTTCAGGTCTTATGTTTAAGTCCTTAATCCATTTCGAGTTAATTTTTGTGAGTAGTATAAGATAGGGATCCAGTTTCATTCTTTTGCATGTGAATATCCAATTTTCCAAACACCATTTATTGACGAGATTATCCTTTCCCTATTGAGTATTCTTCGCTCCCCAAGGCCTTTTCTCATCCAGATAGGCAAATAGCTTCCTAGATGCAGATCTTCCTCCTAATGATATTCAGGGGGTTAAGGAAAGTCCTAACCCACTGAAGGGTAGACCAACCTGCATGCTAGGTTTGTTCAGTAGCTCCTGCAGAACTTGAAGGAGCTTCTCAGAGCTTAGATGTGTATATATGTGTGAGATGGTTGGGGAATGGGTGTGAGAGGAGAGCTGCCAGTGGGGGTCACATGAAACTAGACCTACTTCATGAGACTGGAGGGGCTGCTTGCTTCAGCCAGGGAGTTACCATACCCATAGCTACTGAGAGAAGGAGGAAGGGGCCTGGGCATCTCTATGTCTCATAGACTGACCAAGCTTATTGCATCAGTGCCCTGGAGCTGGGGAGAGATGTTCTCAGGGACAGACTCTTTGTGTCCAAGGACTGCCAACAGTCACCCCTCTGACAGCACAGGGGCAGCTAGTGGAAGACAGGCTCTGGGAGAGGAAGGGTAGCTGAGTCTAGACGAGGGGGTGTGGGGAGGGGAAGAGAAAGAGAAAGACTGAAGACACTCTCCACATTCCACTCTAACTCTCACTGTCTGTCACTGTCTTATCTGGAACAAGAAGCAGGAGCTGCCTCCAGAGGAACAAGGGCCCAGCATTCAGAACCTGGATTTTTGGCCCAAACTCATCACGCTCATTGTGTCAATCATAGAGGAAGATAAGAATTCCTACACACTCGTTCTGAACCAGTGAGTGTCACCCACTTGGTCCTGTCCAGTTGGTGGTTGGTTTGTCCTTCAGTCTAACAGCCTCTTTCTTTCTTGTTTCTGTGTGTTTGCAGTGCCACCTCTTCCTCCTGTCCATCCGTCTGTCTCTTGTCCTTGTATCTGTCTGGGTAACTGTTTCTGGAGACAGGTGTGGAAACATAATGGGGGGCCCTGCCCAGACTGAGCCAGCCTCCCTGACATGAGAGGCCTCTGGGAATGGCTGCCGTAGGAGTCCCAGGGGATCCAGAGACCATGTGTGTATATGTCTGTCCACTGTGAATAAAGTGGGCCATCTTATAGCCCACCTCTTTCCCCTTCTCCTCCAGCTTATTTAGCCTTGGCCTGCCTTCTAGCCTCAACCCTTCTGCTCTGGACCTCAATTCCATGCTTTTTGGGCATCCTCTCCCCTGGGCCCACCATACCTGAGGGCATCTGCTGCCCCCACTTGTCCCACCACTGGCCCCTAGGCCCCTTTTCCCCAGATGGAGCCCAGCCTTGTTTCCAAGGCTTCCTGTCTCTTCAATCTGACCTCCAAGAACTAGGCACATTAGCCTTGGAAGCAATCAAATCAAATGGCTCTTGCCTTGTTCTCTGACTATGGCTTCTTCCGTCATCCAGGTTTCCTCAGGAGTTGAATGTGGGAAAAGTCAGCGCAGAAGTGATGTGGCAACTCTTTGCCCAAGACATGAGATATGCACTGGAGGGTAAGGGTGTGCCCAAGGCAGTGGGCTGCAGGCCCCTAGCCCGAGCACCTTGTTTGCTGTCCCTTTCCTCTCCCAGACAACTACAAGTTCTGGGTGAATGGTACAGTGAGAAACTAGAGGGATTCTAGGCATAGTGGATGATAGGCCTCAGGAGGCCTTGGGTGGGCCAAGCTTTAGCCAAAAGAATAAGGGAAATGGCTGTATGGATGTAGGTTCTTCCTTCCAGCTTTAGAGCAAGTGCCTGTTTAAGACTTGCCCATCCCATGCTGGATGTTCTCAAGTGGCCCACTCCCTGGAGAATGGTCTTGTGAAACTTATCTTTACAGTTTTAAAGAATCCTAGACCCTTAAATACATAGCTAGTAAGATTATTTTCTCACACTGGGGACTGCCTGGCCTGGCTTTCCTTGAAAGCTGTTCTGGATTGGTATGACAAAGCCAGAAAAATGCTTATTCTCTCACTTCTCCTATATAGCAAGGTCACAGACAAATTATTATTCATCTTATTCATTCAGCTTATTCTTTTATTCATTTCCCACTTTGGTCCACAAAGACATCACTCTCTACCTGTATCAGACCTTCTTATTTGTACCCATCTGTGCTCACTTATTTAGCTGCCTGTCCTATCTGTTTATATATGTTAGTCTATCTCCTCAGTCTGTGAAAGCGGATCTAGAAGGAGGGGGAGCAGTCTGGGGCAAGAACAAAGCAGAGTCTGGGTCTGTTATTTGGGTAGAGTGGCAGGGGAAATGGGTAACCCTCAGACTTTTAAACTTTTTGAGGTTTAGGATCAGTTAGTTTTTTTTTTTAATTGAGGTATAATTGACATATACAACATTATATTAGTTTTAGGTGTACAACATAATGATTCGATATTTGTATATATTGCAAAATGATCACCACAGTAAGTCTTGTTAACATCCGTCACCATACATAGTTACAAAAATTGTTTTCTTTGTGATGAGAACTTTTTTAAGATTTATTCTCTTAACAGCTTTCAGTTACACAATACAGTATTATTAACTGTAGTCCCCATGCTGTACGTTAGATCTCCATGAGTTATTTATTTTATAACTGGAAGTTTGTACCTTTTGACCCCGTTCACCCACTTCACACACATCCCACCCCCTGCCTCTGGCACCCACCAATCTGTTCTCTTTAGGATCAGCTAGTTTTGAGGTTGAAAGAAACCTTGAAGATCTGTGTTAAGTTTGAGGCAGCCACAGACTCTACACACACATTATGTAGTTCTCTCCCAGAGCAGTGGCTACCTCCTGCCCACACTGGGTCAAGCCTGGGGCTATAGCCCACTCCTCAGCCTGTCAGGCCAGTGAGGAGGTCGCCTGTCCCTCTCCTTCAGGCAGCACTTGGTGAGCCTGATGGGGAGTATGGTCCCAGTTCTTGACTGGATCTTGGGGGGAAAAAAGATAAATACCTGTGAATAATGAATCAATTCCACAAGAGGGATAGCGTGAGGTGGGGCAGAGGTTTCAAACAGAGATACCTCAGGAGCTTAGTGAAAAGGAGAAACCGGGAGGCTGGGCTGCAGGCCTTTTACCTGGTGCCAGTTCAGTCAGCTCTGCTTTTATCAATCTTATATGGGGTTCTAGGTGAGATTTCTTTTGAAAGGGGAGTTCTTCTAATGTTTGAAACAAACACACAAGGGTTGAAAACTGCTTTAAGGGAAAGAATTAATGTTGACCTAGTTTCACAGCTCAATTTCACCACCTGCTCAGCACTGTGATCTTAGACTAAGCTACTAAATTTTTGTGAGCTCTCATTTTCTCAACTGTAAAATGGGAGTGATGATAGTATCTATTTCATTGAGCTGATGAAGTAACTGAGATGTATGTAACATACTTAGCATACTGCCTGGCATTTACTCAGCACTTAATAAATCTTAGTCACTAAGGACAATAAGAAACCATTACAGGCTCATGAGCTGAGATACTATGTGAACAAAGTAGTATTTTTATAAGATTTTACCTCAGTGGAAAATGGGGGCAGCGGTCACAGGGAAAGACTAGAAGCAGGGAGTGTAGATAATGTAATAATTTAGGGCTGGGGCGGGGCCGGCCCCGTGGCTTAGCGGTTAAGTGCGCGTGCTCCGCTACTGGCAGCCAGGGTTTGGACCCTGGGCGTGCACTGACGCACTGCTTGTCTGGCCATGCTGAGGCCGTGTCCCACATACAGCAACTAGAAGGATGTGCAGCTATGACATACAACTATCTACTGGGGCTTTGGGGAGAAAAAGGGAAAAAAAGGAGGATTGGCAATAGATGTTAGCTCAGGGCCGGTATTCCTCAGCAAAAAGAGGAGGATTGGCATGGATGTTAGCTCAGGGCTGATCTTCCTAAAAAAAAAAAAATTAGGGCTGAGGGGATGGGGCTGGGATTAGAGCAGAGAAATGGAGAGGGAAGAATGGGCTTTGATAGACATTGGCAGGAAGTTGTATAGGACTTAGTGATTGTCAGAATGTGGAGGGGAAGAGAAGGGGAGGAGTTTGGAGACCTGGATGATAAGAGGATACTGTTGACTCTGGCTGTGAAAATGCTATCACTCACCTAATATTTTTTAAGTCAACTTTATTGAAGTATAATTTACATACAATAAAATGAAAATACTTTAAGAGTACAATTCGATGAGTTTTGACAAATAAACACACCTGTGTAACTACTATCCCAATTAAAATATAGAATAGAAAGTTTCTTCGTGCTCCTTTGCAGTAAATCCCCACCCCAGTCACCAAGTGTTGATGGAGTATTTTCATTGTGCCAGGCACTCTGCTAGTTGTTGGAGCCCCAGTGAGATGAATGAGGCATAGCTCCAGCCCTTGAGAAGCTCACAGACCAGTCTAGACAACAGACATATAATTTGGCAGTTACAATTCAAAGTTATAAGTGCCAGAAAAGGAATAAGCATAGGGTGCTGAGAGGAGAACCATGTAAGCCAGACCTGAGAAGCCTTCTTGGAAGACCTGGAAAGAGGACCTGGGAAGGCTTCCTGAAGGCGGTGGTACACAAACCGAAACCTGAAGGATGATAATACTTAGCTGGTGGGGAGGAAGGGTAGTAGTGACAGGAAAGGGAGAGACAGTACGTTCAGAGACCTGGGGTCTAGAGAGAGCTGGCATGCTCTCTGGAACTGGCAGCAGTAGTTCAGTATGACTAGCACTTTAGAGTGTAGGGGAAGAGATAAGTGAGAGATGAGGATAAACACGTAGGACAGAGCCAGATCATAAAGGAGGTTGTAAGCCATGTTTAGGCTTTTGAACTCTATCTTGAGGCATTTGGGAGCCACTGAAGTCTGTTAAGCACGGGATTGACATGATCAGATTTATAATGTAGAAAGGCCACTCACTGGCTACAGTGTGGAGAATGGATTGGAGGAGGAATGACCAGTTTGGAGACTATCGTAATGATCCAGGTTAGAACAAGACCTATGCAAGTAATAGTGTGGCTAGAAAGAAATGGATAGATTCCAGAGAAATTTTGGAGGTGAGATCAACAGGGATTGGTGATTTAACTGGATGTGAATAAAGAGGAAGAAGGAAGACTTGAGGGTGATGCTCAGCATTGAACAAGAGGATAAGATTAGTGTGTATACTCTGTTCAGCTCCAGCTGGAGATGTTAAGATGGCGAGAGATGGTGACTAGAGTTAAACCCGGGCAAAGTGAGATGTTCCATCAAAGCCTTATATAGACATTACCAGCACCAAAGAGGGATTTAGGGGAGATATCAGCAAACTGGACAGTTGAAGTCATGTGGCTGAAAGAACTCTCCAAGGATGAAAGAAGAATGGAGGGAGGAATGTGGAAGTCAGGAGCAGGAGAAGGTGATAGATATGTGATTGCCCCTTTTGACAGATTAACCACACCCCCACGCCCACCCCCCAACAACAACCTCAAGCAACTTTGCTGGAGCATGACTCCATGGGACTTGTTAGAATAGTTGAGAGTGTGACCAGTGTTTCAGCAATTATCCTGTCCGTTTTGGTACCTCAGAAGTTAATGTAGAAATTGGAGTTTGGGACCAGAGTACAGATAATGGATTGACAGACTAAGTGCGAGTTATATGTCACTACAGAAGTAACGTGCAAGTCCTAGATGAAAGCAGTTAGGGAGCTCTGGAGTGATGAGCAGCACTGCCTCCACTTCCATTGGGTTGCTGAACAGGAAGGAGGGAGGGCCCTCCTGGTGGTACCTTTTTATGTTTCTAGGTTCTTGGACTGGTTTAAGAACAGCAGGGTGTCGGGTGGAAGAAAAGGGGCAAACCCTGAGAGGGTCTCTCTGATATCCCTGATTTTTTCATTCTCTTTGTTGTTCATTGGTGTCTCTGCTCTGTCACAAGCATCCACTGTCTTTCCTATACGAAAAGTCCTCTTTCTGGGTGTTAAGAACTTTTGGTTGTTGTCCCTTTGCCTCTAATCTTATACCTTTTTCCTCTTTTCTTGCTCACTGCTTCATAAAAGAGACTGCAAATTCAACTTCAGGTTGAGATGGTGCTGCCTGCAGTGCCAGGAGATTAAATTCCTGGGACCAGGAGCCCTTTGAGACTGAATCCCAGGCTCCCATTTCCTCCTTGAGTGTCTGCTGCACTAATTGACAAGGGCCAGCTGCCCTAGACTGGATGTTCTGCCTTGATGTGGAGGAGCATCACCCATGGCAACTAAAGTTGAGCAGTCGAGTTCCCAGGGACACTGGCCTTCGCTTCTCTGCTGCTCAGTACTCTCCCCCATTTGCTTGCTTTTACCATTATGTCATATGTAAGCACACAAATGGCTTTTATTATTCAGATTAATGCTTTATCTATAAAGGGGGTAGATAAAGAGAACCTGTGGGCGTGGCCAGTGCTTCAGACTCTCTGGGCAAGTTGTGGGTGATCTTTGTCCTAGATTTTCCAGAAGGCTCTGGAGATTCAGCTAGATGACCTTTCAAGTCCACAATAAGCATCCCATTTTCTGTAGCATGATGGGCCTTTCATCTGGCTGTGTTTCCATGGTTTCCAAACTGATTATTCTTATTTGCATACTTCTTTGAGAGTTCATTTTTCAGTGTCTCAGCTCTGTTCTGGGGCCCTTCAGTTTACCTCAAGATTCTGTTACACCATGGCTGCTCATCTACTCTTTCTGTCAGCTTGAGCTCACTTTGGCTTTCCCTGTCTCTGTGTAGTTGTCATGGATCCATTCATGTCATGTACAACTGTTCATCTCTGTATTTAAGCCCGTCTGAGGGAATGGCCCAGCTACTAGCATGAGAAAAGCCCTGGAAAACTGTCATTCCTCTCCAGTCTTAGGCAGTCTCCCCACTAATCAGCAGTAGCACCCACATCCCTTTCTCCTCTTCTTCACCAGAAGACCTCCCTTGGCACTTTCAAAAGGCATAGCAGGGAGACTAGAGGCCTTTTCTGGGAGTCTGGCTTAGTTGCTAAAGGAAGATTTGAGCCAGGCTCTTGGAAAGCAGAGCACTCACTGGTAGGGGGAAATGGCTGTGAGGAGGTGATTGGGAGTCACCCTTGTCCTAAGATACCTGATAGAGCCACCTAACTGGATCTGCCTCCTTGGGAAAGCTCAGGAACCATGGCCTGTACTGCCAGGACCCGCCTGACGCAGCCTGTCTCCCCAACACTAGAGCATGAGAAAGACCGGCTCTGTAAGAGTGCTGACTACATGAACCTGCACTTCAAGGTGAAGTGGCTCCACAACGAATATGTGCGGGATCTGCCTGCCCTCCAGGGGCAGGTGCCTGAGTATCCTGCGTGAGTCATCATATGGGCACTGTGGAGGGAGGGGAAGAGGCTCCCTCTGGCTTACAGGGTGGGTGGGGCTAGTATCCTCAATTCAGTTCAGCAAGCCAGTCTTGAGACTACCTGTTCTGGGTACTGGTGTAGAAATAGAAAAGTGTCAAACCATGCCCTACATTGCATGCCCTACATTGCCAGTCTGAGAGAGCTGTCAGGCATGTGGCATATGCCAACCACTAGCTCCAACCCCCAGTTCTCCTGCCTGGCTGCAGGTGGTTTGAGCAGTTTGTCCTACAATGGCTGGATGAGAATGAGGATGTGTCCCTGGAATTCCTGCGTGGAGCCCTGGAACGAGATAAGAAGGATGGGGTAAGTGGAGGGCTTGGGCTGCATGGGGATCAGGCCAGGTCACCCAGCAGTTAGCTGTTAGCAAAACCCCTGGGCTTTAGCCAGGATGGCTGTTCCTGCACTGTGGAGTCCATAAGGATGGCTGTTGAGGGCCACTGAGCCAGTGAGGAACCTGCTGGTTCCTTTTGAACCCTAAAAACTTGGAAAAAGGTAGTGGCTGAAGATGATGACCCTGTGTGTGTCCTTCCTTAGTTCCAACAGACATCAGAGCATGCACTCTTTTCCTGCTCTGTGGTGGATGTCTTCACACAGCTCAACCAGAGCTTTGAGATCATCCGGAAGCTGGAATGCCCAGACCCCAACATCCTTGCCCACTACATGAGGAGATTTGCTAAGGTGACTGTGACCCTCCTTAACCCTCCTCCTTACCACCACCACACTCATGGCCCAGTCACAGGCCTGAGCTCAACCCCTCTCTGCAGTGGCCTTCGGGTGAAGCCTGGTGTTACCCTGTTCTCCTTTTCATGTGTCTGCGGCAGACAAGTGGGTTTGTCTCAGTGCTATTCCAGGGTTGAGAGGGAGCTTGGTCCCTTACTGTGAGATTCCCCTTTACCTCCCTGTTGTTCTGGGATGCAAGGTGCGACCTCAGGCAAGATCCTTGTGGGGAGAGCTAAGGGTTCCCTCTCCTTTCCTTTTCTCCTCTTTTCTCAGACCATCGGGAAGGTGCTGATACAGTATGCAGATATCTTATCAAAGAACTTCCCAGCTTACTGCACAAAGGAAAAAATGGTGAGGGTCAGGCCCTGGGACCCCGAGAGAAGGGAGTGGAGGACATTTGACTCCTTGCTTTTGAAGCTATCCTCGGAGCCAAGGGGTGTGATGTCCTGACTTCTGATTCCCAGCAGGGCTTTGCTTGAGATTATGCCACGAAATAATAAGAACTTGACTAGGAGTTCCTCTGAGCCTCCGTTTGGTACTTTATCCTTTACTAAGCTAGACCTTTGCTTAGTCTTTCTTTTTATTTTTTAATAAAAAATTAAGACATTCAAAGAGTTATAAAGGATGATACCATGAACATGTGGGGTCCACCACTCAGCTCAAAAACAGTAACATTTGCTTCTAGTCCATTCATGGAGAATTGTCTGAATTGGGTCCAGATCTCAGTGCTTAGGGGGAGATGCATGTAATATGTGTTGTAAATTCCTTGTGGCTTTTGGAGTAGAGGGAGAGACCCTAGGCTGATGGGTCCTGTGCTGAGAGGAGCTAAGACTCAGCAGTTCCATCTGTCCCCAAAGCCCTGCATCCTGATGAACAACATGCAGCAACTGAGGGTCCAGCTGGAGAAAATGTTTGAGGCCATGGGAGGCAAGGAGGTAGGTCTTAGGGTTTGGGGTTGCTGCACTTTCCCTTTGTTCCACGCTCCCTGGCCACAGAACTCCACCCTCTCCTGACTAGGTATAGGCCAGGAGTTTAGCTTGGGCTCTGGGCTGGCTTGAGCTGAGAGATTTGAGTAGGCATTGGGGTGAAGCCCCTAGAAAGGAGGAATTTGGGGCACAGGAGGGGAGAAAAGAGTACGAGAACCACCTTAGCCAAGCCCACCTACTGTGGATACAGTTGGACCCCGAAGCTGCAGACAGTCTGAAGGAGCTACAAGTGAAACTGAATACAGTTCTGGACGAGCTCAGCATGGTGTTTGGAAACAGGTCAGTGGCCCCAAAACACACTGCCCTCAGAGCCAGGTGTGGTCCCTGGCCAGTCCCAAAGCCCCTGCCCCACACCCATCCATCCAGCTGCAGGTGAGTGGATCTTCCCTCTCTTCCTGCTGGCTGTCCCTGCTAGAGCTGCACCATGAGTGTGCTGGAGTGGGACCGAATAGCTAGTGCTGCTCCAGGGACAGTGTGTGTTTGAGGAAAGGAGGGCTGCACTCTGGGCACATGTGTAGTTTCCAGGTGCAGATTGATGAGTGTATTCGACAAATGGCTGACATCCTGGGCCAGGTGCGAGGCCCAGGGAATGCATCCCCCAACACCAGGGCCTCAGCGGCTCAGGATGCAGATGGTGTGCTCCGGCCTCTCATGGACTTCCTGGATGGCAAGTGAGTACAGCACTCAGGAATGTCCTGTGGGGACAAGCAAGACAGAGGCAATCAGATGGAGGAACCTCTTGGGGAGGGGGGCTCTCAAACACTCACCGCAGCCTTACCTGTTGCCTGGGTCTGTAGCCTCACACTCTTTGCCACTGTGTGTGAGAAGACGGTTCTGAAGCGTGTACTGAAGGAGCTCTGGCGGGTGGTAATGAACACAATGGCGAGAATGATTGTTCTGCCCCCACTCACTGACCACACGGTAAGGACGCTCCCCTTCCACTTCCCCCTGTTGTCTCCCTTACCTCGCTCCACACTTCCTGATGGAGTTTGGAGTCCTCTGATTTTGACTGATTCCCTCTCTGCCAGGGCACCCAGCTGATCTTCACTGCTGCCAAGGAGCTGAGCCATCTTTCCAAACTCAAGGTACTCTAGATGTGTGGGGTCCTTCTGAGGCTGGGGGGAGGGGATGCCTGGGAGGAAGGAAATTTCAGCTTTGGAGACTGAAGAAGAGGGGAAGGAGAGGAACATGTAGCTGCAGGCTGGCAGGTGAGGGCAAGACTTTCTTGACAGCCCCGAGCTGTCCTGATGCTCTTGCTTTCTCTTGGGTTCTAGGACCACATGGTGCGAGAGGAAACACGGAGCCTAACGCCAAAGCAGTGTGCCGTCCTTGACCTCGCACTGGACACCATCAAGGTGGAGACCCCCCTTACATCTTACTACCACACCCTCTTGGTCTTGGCATTCCACTCTGCCCAGCTAGGTGTCCCTTGGCCTCTTGCCACCCCACATCCAGAAGAGAGTAATTTTTATGTTCATTTCTTTCTTTGCTATGTCCATATTCCTCCTTGGGAGCAACCAAAAAGGCACCTCCTCTGTGATCTCAGGTGACTCACCATGGACCTAGAACACTTACTCCTGGGTTCTGAGGACAGTTCAGTTCACTTAGTTCCTCATTGCCATTCTTGAATATTTTCCACTGGGAATTACTCTTACAGATCCTAATACCCCAGATCTGGCTGATGTTTCCCTCTTCCACTTACATATAAAGTCATTTGGGTTTTCAAAAGACTTGTTTTTCTCTACTCATTCATTCATTCAGCCAGGCAACATACACCAGGCACTATGCACTATGAAGGATATAGAGAATCAGATATGGTCCCTAGCCTCAAGATGCTTATAATCTGGTAAGGTGGTAATAAGGCAGGTACATATGAACTGTGATTCAGGGTACTTGGGAGAGGTGTGTCATAGGTGTAAAGTTCTCTAAGGGTTCAAAGGGGTGAAAGAGCACTTCTGGCTACTCTCTGCCTGAAATGCTTCTATCCTATATCTTTGCCTGTCTAGATAGATGGATCCATCTTTCAAACATCACATCCAAGAACATGGCCATCCCCTACCACTCCTGCCAGATATCCAAATAATACTCTTCACCTGAGAGACTATGACCCTGGCTGTGTGTTATTCCTGATCTTGTTGTTTATTGAATGGCTTATTGTCCTCAACATCCTCTTCTGGCATCTTTGTTGAGTCCCTGCTCAGATGCTATTTCTCTGAGGACAGTGTTGGGGAGCTGCCTCTGTGAGTGGATGAGGCAATAGCATGTACTCTTTTGTCTTTCAGCAATACTTTCATGCAGGAGGCAATGGGCTGAAGAAAACTTTCCTGGAGAAGAGCCCAGATCTGCAGTCCCTTCGCTATGCCCTGTCTCTGTATACACAGACCACAGACACACTCATCAAGACCTTTGTGCGTTCACAGACTGCCCAGGGTAAGGCCTACAGACTTTGGGCCCCCACCTCCCCTCCCTGATAAATCTCTGCCCACAGGGAGTCAGTATCCTCTAGCCCTTAGGGAGGATCCAGGTACTTCTTCAGAGAGCCCTTCAAACTCAGACCCCAGGATTTCTTGAGGGACCCCAGTACTTACCCCTACCCCATGCCCATACCAGACAGAAGAATCACAGGGACCTGGGAAATGTGCTTGAGATTTCTCTTCCCAGCCATCGCTGGCCAGTGCATGTTTATTGAGCTTAAGGAGTGTACTCTGTTTGGTAGGAAAAATCTCTGAGGAAGCCTTGAGAATGAGTGGTTGAGACACTCTTGAAGGCTCATGGCTTTGGGAGCCTTTAGTTGGACGTTGTCCTGGGGAGAGAAAGTAGAAGACTTTCCAGATTATCCAGCATGGAGGAGGAAAAGACTAAGAGAGGCAAATCATGAGAACAGTTGAAAGGAGGGTGCGGATCACAGGGCTCTGTGCATAGCTGAGGCTCCAGTCTCATGGGTGATGCTAATGCACAGGAGACCCAGGCGGCTGCTCTTTTCCCAGTGACTTCCAGTCCTCAGAACCCCTCCCTGCCTCAGGCAGGCCTATCCATAACAAAACACAGCTGCACAGACATGGTTCAGATTGATATTCTGACTCTTACCCTGGAGCAGAGCCTTCCTAGGAAGAGCTTCAGGCACATTTATTATTGCTTGTTCTAGGGAAACCTGAGCGTGCTGCCTAGGCAAGTGAACCTGGTGGAGGAGGGAGGGGAAGGCTTAGGCCTTACTGAGCTGTGGATCTGGAGCACAGAGCTGATCTGGAGGCAAAGAGGGATCTAAACAGTTAGACTGGAGTTGATGGAAGGTGAAAAGATGCAAGGGACCTGCAGGACTGCTCCATTTTCCACATCTGTTTTTATTTCAAGTCCCAGGTGGGAAGAAGAGAGACCAAAGAAGTTATGAGCCTTGCTCAAGGGGGCAGGGAGAGCTTTTATGGAGCTGAGTACGTGCAAAGGTCTGTAACATAAGGGAGGATCCGAGTTAATCCAGAAAGGCTTTTTAGAAACACTGAGCTTTAAACTAGACATAAAGATGAGGAAAGGCTAGAACAGGCACATAGGAGGTGAGAGCAGAGTGGGGACTGCAGGGAGAAGCCCAGTGTATGTCCGTGTTTTCTACCCATTGCTTTATCATTTAAGGCCTAGGAAATTAGAGCCTGCAACCTTTCTCATTCCTGCCCCACTGGTCTCAGATACCTTCTCTCTGTTATGTTCTACTGCTTCTGCCCATGATTTGGTTGATCTTCGACCCCTGAAGCCTAATTTGGATCATTCAGGCACTGACCCCAGCTCTTTGACTTCTCTCTCCACCCTACCCCATCTCTGTGCTCCCTCAGCATATGTATAGAGCTGCTATGAATGGCTGTTAACTCCTTAGGCCTCTAACTGATTTTTCTTTCTCTGTCCTGCTGCTGCTACTACCTCTTGACTTGCCTGTCCTCACTCAGTGCATGATGGGAAAGGTATTAGGTTTACTGCTAATGAGGATATTCAGCCGGAAAAGAGTACGTTACACACTGTGCAGATGTGAATCTAACATAGGCTAACACTGACCCCCTGAACTAGAATGAGCTGCTCATGCTGAGAGTGGGGGAACCAAGTGTCAAAGTTCAGAAGCTCTATCCCAAGTCTCACAGAAGGGCAATGTATTCATACAGTCCAAGACAGGGTTAACAATAGTTCTGTCCTCAGAGTTTCCCCACCCCTCCATCTTAAGACAAAGAAGTTTTACCTGGGGTGCAGGGTACTGGTGTTTTCTCAAAATAGAGTGAGGCCTCTCCTGAGGGGACCCTGCAGATTAGCCAGAGATTGGGACTGGGGAGCTGTTTATGGAGTGGTCCAGGTTGGAATAGGACAGTCTTTCTCAGCAGGCCAGCCTCCCAAGCAGTGGCCTCCAGGAATCTGGGGAGAGGTGAGAGGGTGCTGCTTTTGGGGAGGAAGGACCCACATCGTTCCACTGAGGCACCATGGGGTGGACACAGTTCCCAGACAAAGATACAGGGTGGCAGCATTGTCCTTCCCCTACATCTTTCAATGAAAAATTCTTCAGCCTAGGAGATAGGAGAGGTTTGGGGAACCTGAGAAATTTGTACTGCATTTTTGGAAGAAGTTTTGCCTAAGATGTTGTCAGCTTAACTTGTATTTTAATACACAGCCTCATTCTTTATCCCCTTTCTTTCCCTTCTCGCATTGCTTACTTCCCCATGGCTACTGTGGGAGACTGCTTCTTGCTTTAGGGTGTAGGGTGCTGCCCTCCTAACTCCTCAATTTTACCTAGAATAATTAGGCCTGAAGTCTTAGAGTTCGCCAATGGGATATCATCTGTCTTATCTGTCCTTCAGGGTCTGGTGTAGATGATCCTGTGGGGGAAGTCTCTATTCAGGTGGACTTGTTTACACATCCTGGAACTGGAGAGCACAAGGTCACAGTGAAAGGTAAGTGGCATGGACTTACAAGTCTCAGACCTTTTCTTGCCCAGTGGCCTCATCAGTCGAAGTCAGGGGCTGCTTATCCCAGCCCTCCAGCTTAGCCCTCCTCCACGGGGAATGCCACCTGGGGCTCAAGAACTGGGAACGCTTGGTGGGGTCCCTTACAGGTTTTCTTGTTTGGGCAGTGGTGGCTGCCAATGACCTCAAGTGGCAGACAGCAGGTATGTTCCGACCCTTTGTGGAAGTGACCATGGTTGGCCCACACCAAAGTGATAAGAAGAGGAAGTTCACAACCAAGTCGAAAAGCAACAACTGGGCCCCCAAGTACAATGAGACATTTCACTTGTAAGTTACGGGGTTGGAGACCTGCAGGATTCTGGGAGGGGGTGATTTGGGGGGTAAGACTTGAGAGGGGAGAGGAGGGATGGGCTGGACGGCGGTTGGGGTGAATTCAGTTGAAGACTCCCTCAGCTCTGGCTTCCTACCTTCTACCCACCCTGTGCTTGCAGCCTCCTGGGAAATGAAGAGGGGCCAGAAGCCTATGAGTTGCAAATATGTGTGAAGGATTACTGCTTTGCCCGAGAGGATCGCATTCTGGGGCTGACAGTGATGCCTCTGAGGGATGTGGTAACCAAGGGCAGCTGTGCCTGCTGGTGCCCCTTGGGCCGGAAGATCCACATGGATGAGACAGGCATGACCATTCTCCGAATTCTGTCTCAGAGGAGCAACGATGAAGTGGCACGAGAGTTTGTTAAGCTCAAATCAGAGTCTCGTTCCATGGAGGAGGGGAGCTGAGCACTAGGCTTCGGTGCCAACCAGATGGCACCAGTTTCACAAGTCATAGCCAATGGGAGTTACTATGTAGCCAACTTAGGGTCCTCGTAGTCAAGAGGCTGACTCCTTCAGTAAAGGAAACTTAAGGAAAAATTTGATATGGCAACAGTATGGCTTTTCACAGAAAGAGTCATTAATCCCTGACCAATACATGTGTGGTGCTAGGAGGTGGAGGTTACTGCATGGGGAGATTGTCCATAAAGAGAGGGACAGACATTTCTGAGAGCGTCAGCTATTCTTGGTAGACACCCCACGCCCATCTCTACCCTTCTCCATACCACACCTTATCCAGTTAGACCCATAAGTACCAGTCATTAGAAGAACAAGTTTAGAGGCCCTGGCGCTTGTGCCTGGCTGGGTAATCAGCTGAGCCTACAGGTATTGCTGAACCCTGTGGTCTGGATTGGAGGATGGCCAGGGCAGGAGCACGCAGAACAGAATTCAGACTGTCTCTTGAGCAGAATCCACTGGTTTTGTATGGCTCCAATGAGAATAAGGCTTTGAAACTGAACAAGATACCTTCCAGAAATGAGCTGTGCTAATCCTTCACCCAGATTATATCTGTCATGAACAGAACCAGGTTCACATGGTGCTTCAGAGCCCTCAGCATATTTGGAATCTTTGGAACCCACGCACCCGAGGCCACTGCCCAGGAGTCCCCCTACCTCACTCCTATAGGGAGGGGAACGATGCTTCAGGACATGAGAGGCTGTTCTTATGTGCATGCGCCTGAGGGCTAGTTGAGGGATCCAGGAGAGAGGGCTGTATTTTCTTCTTGGGTAGGACCTGAACAAAGCCAAAAATTATGAAAATCAGTCTAGAAAGAGTCCTCTTCACCTATGGCCACTGCCTTCTGGCTGTCCCCCCATCGCAGAAAGAATCTAGCCTTTGGCCTCACTCCCTTTCATCTAGGTCAGCTGCTGTTCCCCTCATAGACGTTCACCCTACAGAAGGAGCTTGGACAATGATCCCTCTGTACAGGCCAGATGGAGGGGGCCTCAACACTCCTTGGGAGGTCAGAGACAAACTCTTTCAGGGGGTCATATGGACTTCCCAGGCCGTTGCTCAAAGATGTGACATGGTCCTTGGATATCCTCAGCAGCCTCCTGGACTTCCTGAGGACTCTGCATTGTCTACAGCTATACTGGCCATTACATGAAATGAAACTAAGCATCTTTGCTGTTGTTAATTATTGTATGTGCCATTATTACAAGCGATTATTGGCTAGTCTGTAATAAATTATCTTATAGCAGCCTTTGGGGGTCTGGTAATTCTGCTCAAGTATGGAAAGCTGTAGAAATGACTATCCTATATAATGGTAGACTTTGGACCAGTGGCCCTTTGCTGTTCTTCCTACCACTCCTCCTCCACCCCCACTGCAAGTGGTAGAGCCTAAAGCAGCTCAGATAAACACCAAGCAGTAAAGCAGCTGATGTGCTAGCATCTTGGCCTTGACTGGAGACTACCAATCCAATTAACAGAGTCAGGGGACCCAGGGCATCAGCTTCCTGCAAAAGGTCCAGAAGAGTAGGAGATGACATGTGCCAGTGAAAACTAGTCCATGCTATGTCTTGCCTTTTCTAGAATCACAAGGCTTTTCTTCTAGGACAGACATAGCCTGGGCTATGAGGACAAAGCAAGGGCCTACTGGGGCCAGAGATGCTTCCAGAAGTGGGTGGAGGGCTGAGGCTCCCATGTACAGGACAGAGGAGTAGGCCTAGGAATACACATTGTCCTTATATTTTGGAAAATTCAAAGAAAAGAGCTGGAGTAGAAAGTCTAGTCCCAAAGGGGAGGAAACAAGGTAAAAATGAGGCCTCTTGGCATGGGAATCAGAAAAACTGAAGCAAGAAATTGCTCACCTACTCTCTCAGCCTGCAGGGTCACCACCTAACGGGGCAGGGACTGAGTAGGGGCATAGGGCAGGGAGCTAACTCCAGCTTCCCAGCTCCTCATTTCCATTTGCTTGCTAAATAAATCCTTAACAGTTCAGTTGCCCAGTCATTTTTACACTTCCTCCTCTTCCCCCCTCCCCTTCCAAACCAGTTGCCTTCTATCATTTCTGCCTCAAACTTACCTCTTGAATGCATTGTCTCACCTCAGTTCCCAATACCACAAGTGGAGTAGTGGCTTGTAGTTCTTCTTGTCTGGATTACTGTGATAATCACCTACCTCTGCTCTGCCCCTGCCCTCTTCACACACTCAGGTAAGTCTCTCTCCTGTTTAAAGCTATTCAGTGGTTACCTATCATGGCCTTCAGGCTGAAACTCCAATGCCTTCCAAGACAAGCACAGGCACCCCCCACCCTCTTGCAGCTATTCTAAAGCACTTCCCTTGCAGTTCCCTCTGACATACTGCACACTTCTATGCCTCTGTGCCTTTGCACATTCTGTTCCCCCTTGCTGGAATATCCCACAGCCTTTTCCACTGCCTTCTAGGCTCTGACATCTCCTTGGCAGCCTTTAGGACCCAACCAACCCTGTACCCCTCCCCACAGCACTCTCCATGGTTATAATTTACTCCTCTCTGCCTTCATCAGCCTGTGATCTACGCAAAGGCAGGGTCTGAGTGTTTCGTCTCTCTCTCCCAGCGGCCAGCACAGAGAAGGTGTCAGTACTTCAGAGCCAGGCCAACTGCTGTAGGACTCCTTCGAGAAGCTGGGTGGGGGCAGAGTCCTGGGGAGGGGGCGTGGTCATAGGCGGGGCTCTGCTCTGGCTGGAACCCAGGGCTCCCGGCGCCTGCGCAGGAAGGTGCGTTAAGATGGAGGTCGCTGGAGTGGACGGCTGCGCGGCGATGGTGAGCAGGAAGCGCCCGAAGGTGGCGCCCGAAGAGGGGGTATCGCCTTCCCCTTCAACATTGGAGGGAGGCTGTACCCCGACACTCCCTGACATTCGTCCCCTCTGTGTACTTCCCAACAGCTCTCCATCCTTGTACTTTCTTGTAACCTACTCTCAGTGTACTCTCCGAGGCTGCTTCCTCTCTCCGTGCTCGAGTATACGGATTTCCCAGATACCTCGCGAAGGGGATCTTGATCCCCCAAATACCTCCCAAAGGCACCCATTTATTCAGCTACCTCACAAAGCAAATACAATCCCGCCGGTGAGGCACATTCCTATAAACTAAGGGAGTTTTGTCCACTTTTCCAGCATTATCCAGATTCTCTGAGAAGAAGCCATAAATATTATACCATATTTGACTGGAAAGTGGTACATTTGCTTTTAATCCTCTCTCACAGGGGTCAGGAGACCTACTTCATAAGGAAAAGTCAAACTCCAGCTGACTACTCGTGGTTTGCAACAGGCTTGCAGATTTGAATTAGTAGCTGAGTTTTTAAATCCAGATTTCACATTTTAAAAATGCACATTTCCAGCTATTTTGAAAAATTGGAAGATCTGTTAACTCTTAACTCACATTCCCGCAAAGTGACAGGTGGTTGGAGCTGAGAAGCATCTGGTAAATTAGTTTACTTTAGTACATTATAGACTCCATTACTCCTTACTTTCTTATAGTGGGCTTTACAATATTTGCCTGGCACCTGATAGGCATTTGAGTTTGTGATCCCTCTGGGAGGACTGTGGGTAATTTTCTGCATCAATGCTTTGAGCTCTTAATGGAAACTGAAATCCAAAGGGGTTAGATGTGTGTTTAGGTTGTTTTTGGTTTCTGTGATGCTCTGATTAGGGTCAGAGATCGTCCTAGTAGTGATATCAAACCTGAAGTGAGTTCACTCTTCTGTCGCGGAGCAAGCCAATCTCTGACACCTGGTGTAGTGGAAGAAAGGAATTTTATTGCAAAGCGCTGAGCAAGGAGAACAGGCCGCTCACGCTGTAATCCCGAACTCCCCAAAACCTACAAGCAAGGGTTTTTATTTGGGGTTTTAGGTAGGGGACAGGGAGCATGTGGCCTCGGGCTGAAGTCTAAGAGTCCTCCACACAGGCGTGGCTGTCTGTTCTACGTGTGGCATGTGGTGGATTTTTAGTCTCTGCCATATAAAGGTTACAGTCAGGCATTTTAGCTTCTCAGTGTTCCTGCAAGACGCTTAGTCAGGCAGGGGCCTTATCAGGACGTTCCTCTCTCGTCCAGCGGTCCTCCTGCTGTTCTGCAAGGCAAGCTCAGAAACTTTGGTTATTTCGTTTCCCACATTAACTTTATTGGTACAAGACACAGTTTCACCCTAATCTAGGGAAATTTTAACTCCTTCATCCTCAGTTTCAGTAGCTAAAACCTTAAGTAAAGTGTTTTTTATAAGAGAATTCAATCAAAATATTTGTAGGTAGCTCCCGGTACATTTGATCTCGAAGAAATCCAGTATGCTAACTCCTCTCTGGTGGGGTCAGGCCAAGGTCAAGGCATCATTTCTCTTTGAACACCTGGTTATAAAAGGGCCTGGCTCTGGTTTGTACAGAAAATGATGTCTCAAAAGTGCTGTCTCCCGTGCTGCAGAACACACAGATGGTAACTTTTCTCTCTGAGGGAAATAACAGGCCTCAGAGCATCAAGAGTAGGGGTATTCTGCAGGCTGTATCTAATCAGAAGTAAAACAAGTACCTTTAATAGTGGATTTTTAAAGAAAATCCCTTCTTTCAGCATCAGTGTGTGGCCTACCCCTTCATTGTGCCTGAATGAACCTTCCACATGTAGAAGCATAATGGCAAAGCTGAAGAAGCAACATGGAATAGTGGCGAGGGCATGAAGTGGGAATCAGAAGACATGAATACTGGTCTCAGCTCTGCTACATACTTGTCAGGAGACCTTGACTTGTAACTTCTCAGAGGCTCAGTTTCTTGCATCTGTTAAATAAACAATAATTCCTGCCATGTTTACCTCAGAGGTATCAAATGGGCTCATTTAAATGTGAAAACACTTTGAAAGCTATACATTTTTTCTCTGTGTAAGGGATTATCATAATTATAAAATATCGTCTGAGTTCTGATAATCTCTAAAGGAATTTGTCTTGCTGCATTCCATGTTCAAAATCAACAAATACTTGCTGAGCACATACTGTGTGCCAGGTCCCCATGTAGGCCTGGGGCCTAGCGTTGAACAAAACACAAATCCCTGTATAAATTTAGGAGTGAGTCATCAGCATATTGAATGCCTACTAAGTACCCAGTGCAGTATTATAGCTATTTAAAGAGGTACAGTCAGTGTTGAGGAGCTAGAGAGGAATGGTGAAACACAACAGTGGCGGTCGTAGCACTCCTAGGCCGGAAGGGAAAGGGGGGAGAGTGTTGTTACCAGAGCCCAGCTGGAGCTACAGTCTGGAAGAGGGACTGCCTGACAAGAGCTATGGCCATAAGTGCTAAGCAGCCACTGTGAGAACTTGACAAGGCAGAGAGGACACAGAGAAATAAATGCCCTAACCTTTCTCTCTTTCTCTCCTGCCTTCCAGTCTCCAACTAGCACTTTCCATTGGTAAAACCCAAACAGAAGCCCAGGGGCAAGGTAGTCTGAGTGATGTAGTTCATAGAGGTCAGTTTCCCAGAGCAGGGCAGAGGGAGTTGGGCAGGAGGAGACACAGCAAACACATTAACCAGTATACAGGTATCTAGGGAAGGAAAAGTCACCACTATGGACTCTCCAAGGAACTTTTCCCTCTGTTCAAATTCAAAATCTGCTCTAAGGCTTGGTCTCCTTAGCTGTGAAATGGGGATAGTAATGCCTTTTTTCCCAGAGTGATTGTGAGGATTCTGTGATAGGGCACATGAAGGTGCCTAGCACAGGGCCTGATAACATGCTGGAAACTCAACATATTTTAGTTCCTTCGTTATATGCCTAAATGGCTCCTTGGCTGGAATACCTTTTCCAGTCAAGTTCTCAGAGAGTGGCTGGAACTGAGTGAATGAAGGTTAGAATAGTCAGAGATGAAGTCAGAACACATAGGGCCCTGTAGCCCATTGTAATTACTTTGGCTTTTAACAAGAGTAAAGTAGGATGTATTGGAAAGTTCTCCTGGATTGTGTGACTTTTGACATCAGGGTTCCTATCATTCACTAGGTCATCACTTGTTCATTCATTCAAAAATATTTATTTGGAACATACCACAAGTTGGGCACTGTTTTAGGCAGTGGAGATGCATTGATATATAGTTCCTACCCTCAAGGAGAATGTAGTCTTATGAAGGAGACAGACAATTTCAATTTAAGGTATGAATGTTAAGATACGAGTGAGCATAGAATATACTATGGGAGCTCATAGTAAGGACACCTGACCCATTTTGAGGGCATCTGAAAAGGTTTCCTGAGGAAGACAATG